GAGGTCCCATCCCAATGCAACAGTGTTCCTTAAAGTCTTTATGTCCTTTAAGTTTAAAGCTTATTTGCCTTAAAAAATAAAGAAAGGAGGACACTTCTTGGAAGAAGATTTCCTAAAAAGGAAATTTTCAAAAAATCAGCGGTGAACGGGTGAGAGTTTTGTTAGATATTGATATTGTTAAAGAAAATATGTAGACTATATTATAAAAAAATATAAAATTTCTTTGGAACGTTTGTTTTTTGTATTGGCAAAAGGATTAATAGAATAGGTAAATATCATTTCTTTATTTATAATATTATATTTATAAAGTTATATATATTGAAAAAGAAACAATATCTTTTGGATATGAAACATATAACAAGTTAAATATTAATTTGTCTATAGATCTATATTTAACTAATATCAAAAAAATTTTAAAACAATATTATATATGTATATATACAGTATATATATACTAAATATAATTAAATAATAGTTATACTTACTGAGAATTTTTTTAATTAAATATAAAGAGAATAAAAAGTAAAAGAAAATTAAAAAGAAAAAAAAATCATTATTATAATAACATGGATTACTAAAACTAAAACTAAGTTACTTAAACTATAAGATTTATATAAATAAAAATAATATCTAAAAAATAATTAATTATCCAATTTTTGTATCAGTACTGATTCTAAAGATATAAACTTTATTAATATAAATAATAAAATATAATTGATATTGTTTGTTATTGTAATAGTTATAGTTATTATTATTATATTGAAAAATTAATTTGAATAGATTTAATTTTTATTTTATTGTTTTGACAAAATCTAATTGAATAATTGAAGAGTAATAATCATTTGAAGAAAATAACTGATTATAGTTTTTTTAAAAAAATTTTTTAAAAATTTTGAAATAATATAATAAGTAATATTATAATATGGTTATACGTAAATTATACATATAACAGAAATTATTGAATTGAGTTAAGCATAATTAAAAATTAAGAATTTAGTAATTGAATCAAATAAATTTCTTTTATAATTAATGTAATGTCACAATTGTACTACAATTTTTTAATATGATGCAATTACGTGATTTTACTGCAATTATATTATTTAATATAATTGTACTACAATTATTTTAATATAACACAATTATATAATTTTGCTACAATTATTTTTAATTATAACATAATTACATGATTTGCTACAATTATACTGCAATGCCACAATTGTGATACAATGCCAAAATAGTAACACAATTTATGATTGGTTATAAATTTAATTTATAAAAATTTTTATATATTATATATTTTTAATTATTTATAATTAATATCTCTGTAACCAATGATTCAATTTGAACAAAAATTTTACTATTCAAAAACTTTCAATAAAAGGAATCTAATAGTTTAAATTGAACTATTCATTATAAAGATATCAGTTATAAACAATTAAAAATATAAGATATTATATATAATTTTAATAATTTTTTTTTTTTTGAAGAAGCAAAAGGCTATTACACTTTATTTTATTATTATAATTTTAGACTTGCAGTACAAGATTTATAACATATTTACAGTATAACATACATTTCTCTTTGTTAGGAAGAGTTAAATGCCAAGCTCCGCAAATGCGGTCCATCCTTTATGCTCCTTAGCATCACTCAGGAATATAGAAAAAGGAAATTTAAAACCTATATTATGCCTTGGATGGCATCTAGCTATCTAGAAAATTTGAATACCTAGCCACATGAAGGCACTACAGCCACTATATACAGGTTGACCTCCAAGTCATGACTAGGATTGGCAAGCTTGCTTTTCAAATGTGGCTTGATATACAGCAAGCTGAAATGTGTTTTATCTTATACTTCCTCTGGATAACTGCTCAACTAGTTAAATGGCCACTACACCGATGCAGACATCTTGTGAAAATTAGCCTTTTATCCGATCACCTAGTATTTGATCTTCTCTACTCTTTTAGAATTGTGGCAAATTACAGGTTGACCAGGCCTGTAGCAGTTGCCTATATCTGCGGCAAGTAGGGAAAGAGATAGCCGCTCTTTATAGGAAGCTTTGTATACATAGCTACACCATTTAAGTATTTGAGTAGAATCCAGTACCAGTATAAGGTGGGAGAAGGTGAAGGAAAGATGTTTGAATATATAGTAGTGGTTGTTAAAAGAAGTTGTCGGATGTAATGGAATTGGAGTTTCTTATAGATGTTGTTATCTAATCTTGTACAATGAACCTACATTGTCAGAGGTGTGAGCAAGGAACTTTTGTTATTATCACCAGCTCGTATTGCGGAGATAACTAGAATCCCTAGTCTTTATGTATTATCCTATTAGGTTCTTCAATCACCAGCATGACACCTGCAACTAACCTAGCTTATTGTTAGCTATATTGGCATTGGCTGTCATATCTTTCTGGATACAGTGGAGTGCAACTCCTTAAATACTTTCAGATAATAATAGTTGTATACCAGTTTCTTAGATATATCTAGTTTAACTATCAACAAGTAAATAACACTGAATTTGATAATGATAACCATGTTGATCTTTTGAAGGGGTAAATCATCTGTCCTTTTTCTGTGAGGCTATGAAAGGGAGAAAATTCTGAAGCCCATGTCTTAAAAGAAGTTACCACTTCTGCATATGGTCTTGAGAAAAGGGAGCTGACTGGTCAGGGGGTTGATGTTATGGGGAGTAAGTTTTATAAAAGAAAGAGAGACCTAGAAAGAAAACCTTCAAGAAGAAAAAAAAACCTAACTTTGACAAGGAAGAGGAAAAAGAAAGGAAAGAGGTAAACTTTATATAAAGAAGTCTATAGAAAAGAGGAGTAAGAAATAGGGAGGGGGAAATAAAAGGATATGAAAAAGGGGAAGTAAAGGAGAGGGGAAAGGGAAGAATGAAGAAAAAAGTAAACAACTCAAAAATTTCCTAAAAAGGAAAATTTCAAGTGCAGAAGGGGAGTGGAAAAGAGTTTTTTTTTTCAATTTTTTTTTTTAAAAAAAAAACTTAATAACTTTTATTAAGAAATATATATATATATAGTATATTACAAATAAACATTAAATACATAATCTTTATTAAACTTTTGTTATTATTATTACAATAAACACTTTTTAAATACTATAAATAAAAAATAGTTTACAAAATAGCTTTGTATTTTTAAGTAACATGTACTATCCACAACCTTAATAGAGTAAGCTTTGTTGACAGTGTTGGAAATAATAATAATAATAAAATATTTAGTACAAATTTTATTTTGTAAAAAAATTTTAATATATTGTTTTTGAAATATTAATTTAAAGAATTAAAGAATTTGATTTTAAAAAAACAATTACTATTACTATGCATAAAAGAATTAAATATCAATGAAAAAGAAACCTCAAGAAAGATAATAATGTTTACAGGCTTTACTCAAATATTTGAATTAGGATGTGTGACTTGCGACCTTGATCCGAAGGCCAATAGTAAGTAGAACATTGGTTTTACTGTAGAGTGCATTTTATCATTTGTGAAATCGTGGTTTTTCTCTTCCATTATAATTTTATGAAATAGTTTTCGAAATAAACCTAGATAGGAGGTTCTTTTATCTATGTATACATGCTTTTTCAGTTCGTTCATTATTATCAACTTGCGTGCCTTCAATCTCTGTTGCTATCAATATTTTTAATAGTCTACTCTTACATATCTAATAAAAGGGTCTTTAGGTCGAACCACCATTGTAGTAAAATCGCACTCAGGTAATTTATTGTCAGGTAATTCGAACTTAAACGTACGCACAATAGTGGCGAGAATGGTTTTGATTTGTAAATAGGCAAATGGTTCTCCGATACAGCGGTGCCGGCCTATTTTATTTAGAATGACGCATGAGATTTGATCTTATATTCGACTGCTTTCTATGAAAAGAAATTAATTTACCTGCACCGAACGGTAAAAATGGAGACCTAGCTTTAGACATATTAAGTGCACCAAATCCATAATCCACAAAATCATCATCGTGTTCTTTATTATTTTGCTTGTCAAAAATTTCCCACCGATGGGGATTAAATTTCTCTGCCTGCTCAAAATATTCATCCGACCTCGACGAAATGGTCGGAACACCTTGAATGTAAGAACCTTTGGGGATCACATAGTTAGTATTCGGAATCGGCAAATCCCTTACGACTTTCCTCATTATACAAAGAAGGGGTGAACGAAGTCGTAAAGTTTCGCGTACAACATTATCATGTAAGGTTAGTTTCTTGATTGCATCGAACGTAAGCGGTGCATCCAATGACCCAAGAACTTTAATCTGTTCCTGACGCAATTGCTCAAATAATTCGGGATTTTCGGCCAAGAAGAAGAGTGCCCACGCGCTGGTTGTTGAACTTGTATGTTGTCCAGCCATCAGCATAGCAATCATGATATTAGCGGATTCCTCGTCAGATAGTTTTCTTCCATCCTTGTACTTGCATTCTGTAGTTAAATATTGCATGATATCATGGCGATCTTTGATATTGGATTCACGACGCGCTTTCATGATTTCCAAAAAGAAGTTATGCATCTTCACGTGAGCTTGGTCACGAAGTTTATTAGACGGAATAGGTAGGTTTTCGAATAGAAAATTTATTGGCTGGAATCCACCATCTAAGTCGTGAAATATTTGTGCGACTATATATATGTGAAGTTGTTAGCGAACAAGCATATGATTGAATGAATGTAGTAAACAGAAACATCAATTTACAAGATTCATCCAATTTTGATCTAACTTCTTCACCCAATAAACACCGAGAGGCAGTCATAATAATCAATTGTGAAGTAACATGGTAGATATTTTCAACGGCTGATTTCATATTCCATCGAGCAATATAATTCTTAGTTTCCATCTCAATCATTGGCACATATGCGCGCAAGTTTTCCACAGAAAGACCAGATTTTACAAATCTGTGAAAAGAAAAGATAATTCACAAGTCTAAATCATTTGATCTTTCCAAATTAATGGATGCATACTTACTTCTTTTGTTCCATCAAAATAGCATTTTCCACATCATACACTACTCCCCTGCCAAATACTGGTACGGTTAGGGATCGGTAAGCATCCTCGGCATTAACATCTGCGATTTTCGCGTTAAACACAAAGTTATTTCCCTCCGTGCCGAGACACGTGACCATTCTTCTGCCCAATAATATGAACGTGTAGTAATCGCCGTACTAATGGAAAAAGTACCAAGTAACGAATTACTACTTGTCGAAAATATGTACAGTATATGGTTTTGTAAGAGCACTATTACCTTTTTTTGATTTTCTCTATAGAATTTGATAGGATCTATACCCATAGTTACAGCCGAGCCAACAAATGGCACCCAATAAGGAACAATCGGGGGTTCGTTCGAATGAGGCCGTGCGTACTAAAGAATTAATTGGAAGTATTGTTGATTATTCTTAAAATCAAAATTTTATTCTCAAACTCATTTCCAACTTACTAGAACATTTTTCAGCGTATACAAGAACACAATTGATACGATCACCAAACTTGCGCACATCAACAAAATTGTGTCCGCGGAGGCATCCTTAAGATAAGGAGCCAATAGGGCATTTCGGCTAGCAATCGCGTTTACTTGGTGAGCAAAAGGTACCAAGTATGAATTGTAAATTAGAGTAAATAGTTTTACGGCCATTATTTGATCTGATGAAAGCTAGATTAGTGGTTGAACGATTATGAGCGAAATGCTTAATTGTAGAGAAAAGAGAACGGAACAATCCGCGTGTAATAGAAAGACCGTCAAGGATCAAAATATCTCAAATTTTCGATCGTTTATCCGTATGCGAGTTACACACTTCTACCATTTGAGTGAATTATATTGATCACAGATTTGGTCTAGGATGAAGTGCAAGGTGTTCATCTATTCGAGATCTGGCTTATCCTTTCCTCGTCAATTGCTGATTGAGTTCAAAAGACACACGCATTTGGTATCTTTAACACGAAAAGGGTAAAAATTGCAATTGTGAACTTACATAATATAATAATATACCCAAAGTTAAAATGGAAATTACGCTCTCAGATTGATTCGAGAAATATTATGGTCATTTAATAGAGAATGGCTTAGGAAAGTGTCATCTATCAGCTGTACACTGAAAACTTGTATTATTCAATTATAAAATATTGTATGTAACATGAAACCCGGTCAAAACCCACACACCAGAAATCAGGCGATATGAAAATTCCTTAGAATAAGTTGTAAAATAGTAAGTGAATGTCTTCAGGATAATCGTACTCGATAATTTTCACTTTTCCCTCCCCGCGAACTTTGCCTCGGAATTCGGAGTTCATAATTCGGTATATAGACAACTTGTTATCGTGTAGTTTATTTTTTATTTACAGCATTTATTTTTATTATTGCTGAATCATTTGTTTGTATAACTGGTTTTTTTTCTTTAATTTTTCTATCCAGTTTCTACATTAATACAAAATGACGCTTTTTTCATAATACACCTAATAATGGTTAGTACTCAAGATACATATTACTTTCACGTGTATTTAAGTGGTCATCCTTTTTACACTTGTAGGCTAACTTATTTTTGCGTGTCAACTACGTATATAATTACTGTATTTGATTGATACAAATTTCAAAATATATTTTTTAAATACATTATGATTGTTTAGATTACTTTATCCTTTTGTTTTTAATCTTATTATACTGTATATCTTTTTAATAAGATAATTTTTTTTTTTTATTTTTGTTTTTTTTAGTTAATTTTTTTAAAAATTATAAGTATATATTTTAGATTAAACAATTTATCTATATTATTGATATCATTATTCAAATAAATATAATATAAATAATACAGAAAAACAAATCTAATGTTCTTTTAATTATTATATTTATATTCTAACTACGATATACAGTATATATATATAATAAATAAATTATAATTTAAATAATTAAAGTAAAAGCTTATAATAAGAACAAGACCAATAACAAATTGAACCTTCTTATTAAAGAAGCAAAAAAGAATTCAAAATTAGTTGGAATAATTGATATTAATAAGAAGTCTTAACAATATTATATTAAAATAAGATTTTTATTGATATAAAAATAAGAGACTTCATTAAATAAATATATATATATATATTTTAATAAAGTAAAAAAATCAAAATTGAATATATAAAAAATAGATCAAAAAAATAAATAATTAAGAAAACTTTAATTGAAAAAATTTTTAAGAAACAAATAAAATAAGAGAATTTTTAATAATATTACTTAAACAAGTTAAAGAAAAGTCTTTTAAATAAAATTGATATATAATAAATTATCAACTTTGAACAATATAATCAAAAAATTCATTACAAAATATGAAAGCTTAATTAATTATTTATATTGTTAACAAGAAGAAGAATTATTAAAATATCTTCTTTCTTGTAACAATATTATAAAAATATATAGATAAATATAAAACAAAAATTAAGATCAAATATTCAATAAATAGTTAAAAAATATTTAAATAAAAAAATATAAATTAAACAAGCCATTATATAGAACCTATTATAAAGATAGTATAAAAGCAATTTTTTTATAGGTACAGATATTATAAATATAGTATATATTTAAGATTTTTTTAAAATAAAAATATTATAGAATAGATATAAACAATAATTAAAGTTAAAATTAAAACTAGTTATGCAAAGCAGTTATTAAAGAAACTCTCAAAAAATATTTGCAAACAAGTTTAAAAAAGTTATGAAATAACAGATATATCAAATTACAAATTTTTAAAAAAAAATCAAAATATACAAATACAAGGAAAAATTGCTTATAAAATAAGAAAAAAGAAGAGAAAACTAAGAGATTCTAAATAAAAAGAAATAAGTTCAAAAAAGTTATAAGAAAACAATATAAAAAATTTCAATTTTTAAGTTCAAAATAAAATCTTAATTTGAATAAATTAAAAAAAAAGAAAATAATTAGAAATATAAAAAATAGTTTATATTTTACTTAGATAAATTGTAATAATAAACTATAAATAATAATTTTTAAAATTAAAACTCTCTTTTGATCGCGTCCGTTTTGTTAAAAATTTTCCTTTTATGGTAATTTTAAGCAAGAAAAAATATTTTACACTCTTTATCG